CATTAGGTATACCTGCAAAAACGTTGGGGCAAGCAATTTTTATGGTGGTATAAAGATTGGGATAACGACCTTGAACATAATAAAATTGAGATGCACAATGAGTTTCCGAGAACATTGATCTGTGTTCACTAAACTCGCAAAAAATATCCATAACGAATTACTGCAATAACACAAAATGTTTCGAAGGAACTAAATGAAAAAATGGAAGCAATAGATCAAATGTCAAGTATCTACTCTCACTTTTACAGAACACTCATATTCGTAACAGTTTCATTGGTATTGACATACCTCCAGTACCTGAATTATTAATGTGTTTTGATTTTGAAAAAGATTTATAACTGTTAATGAATGCCGGCGTTATTTTTAGATCGGTTTAAGCTCCAAATATACCGTAAAACTTGTAATTATGCAAGACCATCCAGTTCCGCATATACATGAAGCAATTACGGATACTACCTACATGTGTGTGTGTACTTACAACTCGGTTATTTAAATTGAGTCAAAAATTGTTGTAATGAATAAATGACCTTCGTTGCGTTAATGAATGCAGCATTTTTTGTACAATTTGCAATTTATGTTTATGCCTACTCGTGGACAGGTCGGTAAATAGAGAGATTTTTAGAAATACCTATAATCGTTTTAATTTAGATATGTGAAATATGATTAAAATTTATTAGATGCTTTTGTATTGACCTGATATGGTACCGCTTTGTTATACCTGTTTATCTTCCTAGTATGGGAATTTATTGCGTTTCATGAAGGCGAGTTTTTTTTTCTGTTGCAATTGGAAGTAAGTTGTAAATTGAAGTAAGTTGCGATGAGGGCGAAATGAAAATTACATATTAAAACCGAATCGATTGTTTGGTTTATTGGAAACGGCGTGGAAGAACAGCTGTAGTTTCATGACTTTCTTTTCGCAGCGCTGGGGGCTCGTTCTTTTTCGACGTCTCAGAACTCCCGAACAATCTTTCATTGTCTGTCATTACGCTCTTGAAATATAGGTCGGTTTTTGCACGCTTCATATGAATATTCCAATCGCAACTCGACGCAAGAACGTTAGATGGAAGAAAAGAAGCAAATCTAGGGAGTTGCGGTCGAAGTTTGGCAACGCGTTTTAAGTTGTTTGGACATTTATATGTGCAACCCGTGCATCGTACAGGTACCTAGCGAACAGCGGTCAATGACAGCGATATCAAGGTTGTAAGGCGGCCAAGATTCAAGAAGACGCCGGTTCATAGTTTTTGGATGGCCGGATCGGATATCGGATCCGAAACGAAACTATGGATTCACTCTCCTCACCTGTCTGCGCGCTGTACTGTAAACACGAAAGAAAACAAAATGAATGCACGAATACGCAACTCAACCTTCCGTAAGAGCGGATTGCGATCTTTTCTGTGCCGGTCGGTACTAAAAGCATTGCGATAAGTCAGTGACATTCCGATTTTTCTCTTTGTATAAACAAGAATTCTCGATAAAATATGAAAGCGAATGAACTCTGGTTGTTATTCATTCATCGTTACACCGGCTTCGGTACCGGTGAATCATTATTTTTAGGAATGCGATCACGATTACTATTTTGGGCAACCTTGATAAGTTGCAGAATCACCGCTATTAGGTCATTTTTTACGCTGTACAGATGATCTTGCTTACACGCTATTAAATAATCGATTTTTATTGGAAATTCTTACTAGTACTCGTTAAAATATTTTATGCATTTACTATTATTATCAGAGGAATGATAAAATTATAATCAATGTTATTCACAGAGTCAAGGCAAAGCTTTTTATTATGCGTACCAAACAATTAATTATCTAATTAAAAAACATTAAAAAAATGTACACCTGTAGGTAATAGATAAATACTTCAAAGCATCTACAGGGCTTTATTGACTATTTCTTTCAGATTTTTAGACTATGTAGTATATTCAAACTTTTTAGAGTAGCATAGAGTCTCTTCAAACTTTTTTAAATCATAAGTGTAGTGGTCGAAAATTGGCTTTTCAGGAGTTCAACACTTTCAGTTCAAACACTTTTACCAAATCTACATTTCTATTTAAAGCTGTTTTTTTTTAATTTCCCCTATATTTTCATTGTTTAATCAAATTCAATGCAATTAAATAGATTATCCTACTACGTAGTTATCAATTTCAACATATTGTTTGATTTATCAGTTTCTAATAACCCTTGTTCTAGTTTTGTACAAAAATAAATTCAGATAAACAGCTGTATCATCATCCAGTAATGCAGCACGCTCTGGAATTCTTGACGCTCGAGACAACCTGAACAAAATAAACGGAAACACTATTTACTTTTTTTATTCATTTAAGCGTATTTTCAAAAGGAGTATTGTCTCGATTGGAAGTTGGAACCGTCTGTTCCCAAGTTATCAGTCTATTTCTGTTATAGGTCAATCACCCAATATCGAGGAAGAAATAGAGATTATTTAATCGTACCGTGTAGTCGACAAATTGTATTTTAATCGAAAGGAACTACCGTACGTTTCTTTATTAATGTTTTTCTTTCCTATTTAAACTCATAAGTACTGATGATTTAATTATAATGTCTTTATAGCGAGGCTGTGTGCTACATGTTGGTACAAGATTTCTCGGTTTAAATATTTATTAAAATTTACTCGTACCTTTGTGTTGCTTCTTAAAATACTTAATCGCCGGAGGTTTTCTCTATTTATAAAGTTACTCGCTATAAATACCACATTTCGATGGAAGGTCCTACGAATTGTGCTTATCTAATAGAGCAATTATTATTGGTGTCATACGTGGAGAAAATGTTTGTTTCCTCGTTTTATGTGTTTCTGGAACGAGCTCATCGATCCGATAAATTTGTTTATGTCCGATAAGATCAGTGTGAAACGGCAACGCTCTTCTGGTCACGCATCCAGTGTCGGGGTGCATATTATACGCATACTAATATTACAAAGCGACCTTGAATTACTTACTAATTTGAAATGTGGATTGCGTTTTTATGCTAAAATCGTATAGGAAAACCCTCGTTATGATGATTCGGTTTCCCGAGTGCTTGAATTTCGAAAATATATGTGCAGGTATCTATTTATACGAGCTATTTAAAAATCGTTGCACAAACCTGTAAATTTTAACAATGGAAACATTTCGCTGTGAGAGTGTATACTTAGACATTAAATATACATAATTCTAGGAATTTTTCGCCTATTTTTTATTAATAATTCGTAAATTTTCAGTGGAATTACATGATTGACTGTATTTCCACTATGAGTCATATGGTAGTACAACTTCCTCCGTAGGAATTAAATATTTTAAACGATATTCTTGGAACACAGGGGGAACGAACTTAACTTTTAAAGATATTTCCCAGGTGTATCATTCTTCAGAGAAACTGGTCGAATATTTCAGCTCCGTAAAAGTTAATAACGTACTTTTAACATTACGAATAGTTTTGTACATTATTCCATTAGTTTTTATTATGGGGGCACTTTTAAAATAAAAATGTTTGGAGTAAGTACAAAGTATCTCCTTTACAAATAAAGTAAAAATTTATTTTCGATCAATTATTCGAGTGCTGTTTTTACATATGTTGATAATAATTATGCACATATAATTGTAAATGAGACATTGTGAATTCCCTACTGGAGAATTATACTAACAATTTAAATATATACCATGAATTCATTAATAATATATTTCACAAACTTAATGCATGTTTAAGGTTTTAAAAATCTAATTTAACATCCTCTCTATTGTTTAATTTACTCGTTGCCGGTCGGACATAACTGTTTATTTTAGAATCCTGTATAGATAATGCGTATAAGCACGTATGTGAAAATGAGGGAGCGTCCCCGGCAATTGCACCCCTCACTGTTGAATGAAATTTTTAGTAGGTTCCTTGCGCGCTTTGTCTACTACCAGTTCGTAGATTTTAAAATTGATTACTGAAATTTGAACTTGCCTTGGAAAGGAAATTGTCCGCTAAACTGTTAGCATGCAGACATTTTAACAAGTTAAAATCGAAACTCTTATTCAAACAAATATTTACCTAAGGCTTTAGTGGATCGGTATTCGGTTAAGAACTATCTTAAACAGTTAGGTATTCTGATATGTGTTCTAGTTTTCGCTATTAATAACTTTCTTTTATATTCCTACGTTCCTTTAGAATACTGTTTTGTTTAAAAAAAATATTCTTTTTCTTAACGTGTTAAATTTTTTTATAATTTCCTCGAAAGAAGCAGTGTGAGGACACGTGCCCAAGAATATAAGCGATAAAAAAAGGCTAATATACACACATGTTGGTGTAGAATATACACATTACATTACATGAACGCATATGCGGGATAAAAAAAGTATAAATCCGACGGTATACGGTAAAGTTATTCCATAAAAAAATACGCACATAAATGTATCGATTACCCAACAGAGGCAGTCGGAAATCTTTTATTGGGAGATGGTGGATGGTAACTACAACTACCTGTATGCAGCTGCGGACAACAGCTGGTTATATTGAGTCCATCTGCTTCGACACATGTTCTATACAATTAAGGGGGGTGTTCGAAACGTCGAATCCAAACCAGCACTTTACTATACGCAATTTCATTGAAACCAGCCTAAAAATCTTCGACCCGGCTCAACCAAAATTTATTTACGACGGGCGTTTAGATGGCCCACTTCCCGGAGACGGTTTCGCAATAAAAATAGGTCGATTTTTGATTGTGTTACACATTTTGCATGACCCGTCTACGTTTTTTATTTATCATTTACTAGACGAACTCGAACTGAATGTAATATACGAGTATAAGAAATCAAGCAATATAGGTCAATCTTTTTTAATAATATAAATACAAAACAGGTAAAGTTGTACAAACGAAAAACTGATCAAAGTTATCGAGCTGCAGTGGAATATTTGTACTTCAGTTCTTCAAACTTTCAGTTTGTGAGTTGATCGTTTTTCTTCTGGACTCTCGTGAACTTAGTTGTCGAACTTAATAGACTGAGTTATTGTATTCTTTTACAGGGCTGTGAAGGCATTCCAACAGTTGCTTTACGTTTCACCTGGATTTCAGAGAGCTAATGAAGTCAATGTCAGGCTTGGTTTGATGTTCAAGGTTACACAAGAATATGAATCAGCACACAAGCATTTCCAGTTAGCCTTAGTAGATAATAGTCCATGTACTGCTACGAAAAATACCAGTAAGTTTATGTCCCTTATTGCCCCCTTACTTATACTTCGTTTATTGCTCACTAGCAGTGCGTCTTGGTCAATTTACACCTTAAAGGTTTTTTGGATACTATTATCATAACCTTGGTCTTGTTTTTCGAAATTTGCATATTAAATTTTTCTGGAAGATGTTTAGCATGCGTTGTAGGTCATTTGATGATTCTGCTATTATTTGCACGACTTTAATCAACTTTATGTTGTGCCATACAATTTGCAATAACAATGAAACTTAAGGTCATTTAATTGTATGCCTCTGGGACGGAATTTTCCATTTTTCACTAAATTTAATTACAATTATTATGAAGGATCGTTAAAATATTCCTATGACCTAGGTGGAAAATACTGCATCTAACTGATAAATCATTTTATTTTTGTTGCAGTTAAATTTCATATAGCCCATTTATTTGAGGTCCAAGGTAAAGTAAAAATAGCAAAAGACAGATACGAAACCCTTTTGAAAGAGAAGAACATCTCGCAATCATTAAGAGCTGATATATTCCGACAACTCGGCTGGTTATATCACTGCCAAGAATCATTAGGAGATAAGAACCAACGTATTCCACTAGCCATACATTACTTACAACGAGCCAATGAGGCCGATCAGTTTTCGGGACAAACTTTATATTTGCTAGGTAGATGTTACGCGAGCATTGGCAAAGTCCACGATGCCTTTATTGCCTATAGGAATTCCGTTGAAAAATCGGAAGGAAATGCAGACACCTGGTGTAGCATAGGTGTCTTGTACCAACAACAGAATCAGCCGATGGATGCATTGCAAGCGTACATATGCGCTGTACAACTAGATAAATGCCATTCTGCTGCTTGGGCCAATTTGGGTATACTTTACGAGAATTCCTTGCAAGCTCGAGATGCGTACGCTTGTTATTTAAATTCGAGTCGAGGATCGTCGAATAAACAAGTAATAAACGAAGTTGCTGTAAATACCACTAAACTGCCAAAATCAACTTTCCCAAACGTGGGTATGAACCCACATTTGACTCAACGTATAAATTTTCTTCAAACTCATCTTTCCAATGCCCCGATGCCAAGTGTCACTTCTCAGTAAGTTATATTTTTTTTGGTTACTAGTGCAGGTACTTATTGTATGTTTATCGCAGGAGGAGGCAATTGCTTTCCATTGAAGAGGCTTGGAATCTCCCGATATCGGCCGAAATGTCGTCTAGACAGCAAAATTCTTCGCAACCCAACCGAAGTACGACCACCCAAAACTACCAGAAAAATTATTCAACTTCAACTCCTCAAGGTCCTCCCCCTCCATATCCCTCACCGAACGGTTGCTCGAACGCGAAACGGTTCAAAACTGAACCCGATCAGAAAACCGCAATCAATCAACCCGCTTACACGCTATCATCTCAACAGTTGCAACTATTGAATCACTTCCAACAAAACGTTAACAATCTGAACCCCAGTCAGCAAGCTTTAATGCAACAATTACAACACCAATACAGGCTTATGCAACAAAATCAGGAACACAACAGGGGCATGATTCGAACGACACCTCCTACCTACAATAACAATCAGAGCTTCGACCAAGAAATGTCCCCAACTAACACTGCCAAAAACGACAATGCTCCTGAACAGCATTCCGGCGATCTTGACGAGAACTTAGTCAAGGACCTCAAGGATTTGCTGGCGCAGAAAGATCTCGCGACGACTCTGGCTGAAAATTTACTCAAACAATTCGGATCCGACGACATCGATGTCAAAGATTCCACCGCTGCCTCCAACAATACAACCAGTAAGTTATCTACAAGATTATCATAGGGTGCGTTTAATAGTAACAATTTCACAGGTAACGTTTCGAACACCCTGTCATCGGGTCCATTTTCACCTTCGAACATAACAACGAAACAAGAATTGTCGCAAGAAGCGAAGAGAAAAATCAAATCGCCCACGCGAGACAACATACTCACTATAAAATCAGAGCCTCTTTGGGAGTTCGATTCGTTCAGAACGATCGAGAAAAAATCCGACGTCGAATACAACACCGACATGGACGCCCAGACTATAATAAAGTTATGCAAGTAGGTACTAATTACCTTAGCAACCGCAAGTGTTTAATACTTTTATTTCGTTAGGAACGAGGTGGTAACTGGAAACATAAGCAATTCAATAATATCGGATAACGCTCCGCCTCCGTCGCCTCCGGATCCTCCTCTACTGAAGCTTAACCACCAGCAACTATTGCCACCCACGCCATCCGTATTCTTGGACAACAAAAAGCACGCCTTCAGTCCCCAACTGCAGGAGTTCTGTCTCAAACACCCTATAGCTGTGATACGAGGATTGGCAGCGGCCTTGAAACTCGATTTAGGTTTATTTTCCACTAAAACCTTAGTTGAAGCGAATCCCGATCATAGCGTCGAAGTTCGCACGCAGATACAACAGCCCTCCGACGAGAACTGGGACCCGCAAACGGGGAAGAAAGTGTGGGCTTGCATATCGCACAGGTCGCACACGACGATTGCCCGATACGCCCAATACCAGGCGTCTAGCTTCAAAGACAGTCTGAGGGTACGTTGGGTGATGTTCGAGGTTTTTGTAATTTTAAAGTGTTTTTTTTTTATTTAGGAGGAACGCGAGAAGGCTGCTAGTGGCTTGTCGGATTCCGATTCGAAGGACTCCACACCGTGCGGTGCTAAAAGGCGAAAAGTCAATCCTACTACTCCACCGTGTCCTAGTCTTAAAAATTGCAAGGAGCAGAAAACTTTGAAGTAAGTACAATTTGCTTGTGGGCTACGTTGCTTTAAGATATCCAGCGATCTAACGATACATCATGATGTTTTTTTTAGGTTCGGTACAAACGTAGACCTATCAGACGAACGGAAATGGCGGCCGCAATTACAGGAATTAATGAAGCTACCGGCTTTCGCGCGAGTCGTTTCAGCCGCCAATATGCTTTCTCACGTCGGGCACGTTATACTCGGAATGAATACAGTTCAATTGTACATGAAGGTCCCCGGTAGCAGAACGCCGGGGCACCAAGAGAACAACAATTTCTGTTCGATAAACATCAACATCGGTCCGGGGGATTGCGAGTGGTTCGCCGTTCCCGACGCGTATTGGGGCTCCATTTGCGCTCTGTGCGAAAAGAACCAAATTAATTACTTGCACGGTTCCTGGTGGCCGGTATTGGAAGACTTGTACCACGCCAACATACCCGTGTACAGGTTTCTGCAGCGCCCCGGCGATCTGGTGTGGGTAAACGCTGGTTGTGTACACTGGGTACAAGCTGTTGGATGGTGCAATAACATAGCTTGGAACGTTGGACCGTTGACGGCGCGACAATACCAATTAGCGATAGAACGGTACGAGTGGAATAAACTTCAAAGTTTCAAATCTATCGTGCCTATGCTGCATCTGTCGTGGAATTTATCCAGGAACATTAAAGTGTCCGACAAGAAACTGTTTGAATTAATTAAGTAAGTTGTATAAATGCTTGGTTTTACATAACGTGTGTATATTAACATCGTTTTTATTTTTTCTAGGAACTGCCTTTTAAGAACGTTAGTGAAGTGTTGTAGAACACTAGAATTCGTGAAGAATCGAGGAGTCGAAGTTAAATTTCACGGTAGAGGAAAGAATGAATCTTCGCATTATTGTGGACAATGTGAGGTAAGTTGCACATCTAAACGCTTGTATACAAGTTAATTGCAAATGCTTTTGTTTCAGGTGGAAGTGTTCAATATTTTATTTATAAGGGAACAAGAAAAGAGGCACGTCGTTCATTGCATGGATTGCGCGCGAAAACAGTCGCCCAATTTGGAAGGTTTCGTCTGTTTGGAGGAATACAAGTTGCAAGAGCTATGCGATGCTTATAATAATTTTGTTCTTCATACTAACACGAACTCTGCTCACGATCAGTTTAGATTATCTAGTTAATAAAGTTTTTTAGATGACCCCATTGAAGGTCAGCTATCACTGCCACTTTGTAACTGATGTACAACTTTAATATTAATATTTGCTTGTTATATAGCGAATAACTTGTAAAAAACCAAGCGTGATAATTTATAACTATTTTGCATATTTTTAATGTATATAAGTTTGTCCTGTAAGATTGATAGTCTATGGATTAGCACAGATGTTAACGAGTAGAAGGAATATGATGCTATAGTCCGTGTTGGAATAAAAAGTTAGTTAAAAGTGGATGTTCATAATCGATAATAAAAGGCGTAGGCGAGTCTAAATATAACTTCCTTAAGTTATCTTCTTATGTGCGAAACCTGTGACATTTAACGAGATGCTCTTAAAAAATAAATACCTCAGGCGTAACAATTCGTAGTTCAATTAACTTTAGAATAAGATTAGTGTTGTTTTAGGATCATGTGCTCTTTATGACGGTGTAATTTTAAACGTTTCTAAAATTATTTTTGATAAAAAGTTCATACGTAGTGACATTTAAGCAACTTATTACTTAAGGAAAGTGTTCGTAATAAATCTAAACTATTTTTCACTGGGTCAAATTTATGTAAAAAGAGAGTAATCTGTACTTTTGTATATACAATTGTACAATTCCGAAATTATATTAGAATTTCTATTGCGCTTTGTTCTAATTTATGCTTCATAATATCTTCGCCTTTGAACAGTATGCCTTATCAAGTAATGCAGTTTCTTTAGTTTCTTGTGATCTAAATGTATTTAATTTGATAAAGTATTTTCAATTCAAGAAATACAAATAAGCAGTCGTTGCGGTTGCTGGATAAATTTTAAAAATACAATATGAAGCGTAGATTAGTACATAAATAAAGTAGTATAGAAACAGATTAAAAATCGGCAAAAAGTATTAGAAATGCATTTCTATAACTAGTATTAGAACTTTTCAATATCATCATTGAACGACGATGTACATAATTATAATGGAGGTAGTACTTTTAAATTTTTAATTGTTATCCGTCCATTATTGAATATGGGCCACTACTTTTCTACTGGTTTTCATTTTTTTGACTACAAGTTTAATCCCCACATTTTATTAACATGATCATTTTTCTCTAATTGTCTCACGAAACTTCATATTGGACCTTAATAAAAAGTAACAAATACGCTTTAAGGGATAAGTAAGGTATTTGAGGCTATTTCAAACATATCGAGTCGAAACAACACTTTTAAATTTTATTTTGTAAAGATAACAAAAGTACAATCTCTTTTTGCTGTTATGAATGTAAAATCTAAAGTAATTTGGATGCGGTTGATTTAAAATTTTTGTGTTCTTTCGTTGCGAAACGTGTACATATGCGGTCCCATTAAAGAATGTTGAATATTTGTCGAAGATATACCATGTAAATACGAAATATTTTTATGTAATTACGTGTAATTGAATCTATCTACTAAGAAGATAACTTTGAATATATTCTAACCGACTCGTCTAGTTTGTAGATTTAGCAGTTGTAACTTTGAATGAAGCCATTTTTGTAATTCATATACAATATTAGCACTTTTTGCTTTTAAATTGTTTAGGATGACCTGTACTATTAAAAATTTTATACAATATTCTAAAACAAACTGATACGAAATTTTTTACTAATTGTACAAGTCGGTTTACTCTATTAGAAAATTCGGATTATGAACGTAACTGTATTATTTATTGTATAATTATTTAAACGAGTAATGTTTATTTATAAGTAGGTAAATATCCGATTGTGACTGAGATGTGGTCATTTGTAAGACTGTCGTTTTGATATAAGTTTTTTCGGCGGAATTTGTAAGTAACTCTAATTTTGAGGATATGAAGATACTTCCTGCACGTTTTAAATCGATTGACAACTTATAAATTAGTGCAATAGTTATTCATTCGACGAATGTTTGACGTATGTTTTATTACATACATTTTTTTATTTATAAGGTCCTCGAGAATGTAAATCAATTTAAGTGTACAATCAATTGTATTAGGTGGAAATTTTTCAAATGAATTACGTTCAGTTGATTTTGTATCTTTAGAAATTTTCGATTTAATGGCGCAAATGTCTTGTGTCCTCCAAAATTTTTGTTAACACGGACTACATTTTTAAGATGTATTGCTGCTGAGGATGCGAAGATTTTTCATCGACAAATAATTTTAATTCTTTATTTTGTGATTTTTTATTGAATTGCGTATTTTTAGTTACCTCTTTGCGCCTAGTAGCAGTAGATTTTAAAGTTTGGAGTTAGATTATGAGAACCAACGCATTTTATAATCTAAGTTTAAAAAGCAATAAAACTGCTCCTTCAAATTTATAAGAAAAAAAAAATAAAAAACAAAAATATTTTGTCTTTTCTATTTGAATTTTTGAATAATACCTACAATGTTTGGTGTTGATTTGTTTTTTTTTTTGTTATTTTGTGATATTTTAAATAATAAACTTGTAGTAGATCTCATTTACGAAATATACAAGAGTGTTTCTGATTGCAAATACGATGGAGTTTTCATCAAAATGAGACCCTATTTTTTCACCAACCGAATCATTTCATTTTCTCGTATAAAATTCAAAAATCGGCTCAAATTTCAACTAAAAAACATCACAAAAAAGTTCGAAAACAATTGAGAAAAGCAAATGGGTAAGTCAATTATCAACCAACACCGAACAGTAAGTTTAGAAAATAGTACAGGGTGGTCAATATACAACTGACTGGTTTGTGTCTTGAATATTTATAAAATGAGATAAAATGCGTCCGTTACTTAATCTTTGATTGAAACTTACAGATTATCTGTGAAAAATAATATACAAAGGTCCGCCTTTGGTAGCTGAACAAACCTGAGCCCTTTCGAAGACATTTTCCATCACGCAAAAACAATATTGCGGAAGAGTTTCAAAATATTCCTCCAGAAACCTACCAAAACTATTTTGTCTTTGGATTATTTTGCTTTTGGGCTATTTTGACAGTTCTCGACTAGTCAATTACATATTGTCCACCCTGTATATGAATATCCCTACAAAGCGATTTCTTCATATTTCACACCTACACCTAGCCTCCAAAAACTCTCCTGTAAAATTCCCCGTTATTGATTGCGAAAACGGTTCGAGTCCGGGTTATTTTCATTCAAAATTCGCCGCTCGCTACGAATAAAAAATTTTGGCAGCGTTCGGTGTTTTCGCGTCGTTTTCGCTTGGACCTGGGGCTTTAGAGAAGTGTCGTTGTCGTTGCCGTTGTCGATCAGATTCTACTGCCATACCTACGGTAAATCCTGCCGGAGCGCACAGTATAGTTATCTAACAGCAAACAGCAGTACGCCAGCGGCACGCGGCGCCGCATTACGGACTCTGTCAATATCGACCGCAAAAATATTTAACGAAAATTATAAATATAATGCTGTCGAAAAGGTTGGTCAATTTTTTAAGTAAGTGTCACGTAAAAAGTCAATTCGAGCAATGGGTTTCGTTTCATACTACGAAGGTGTCTAGTTTTCACGCGATCGGAAGCAATGTAAGTGACTGCATATTTTAGCAATTTTTTCGAAATTCTTCGTTAATTGGGGTTTTTTTAGAACGATGCTGACCCACCAGTTGGTGCCAGGAACCAAAGGTAATTAAGTTTCGATAATATTTAGTGTAGCTTTCATTCATAATTACACCGAAATTTGTTGATTTATATCTAAGTGACGTTGTTTCCTTCAAACTACTACATACCTACAGAATTTTGACTAATTATGAATTAAAAATTAATTATTTTGGTACCATATTTATAGAGAATAAGGAAATATAATGTACGCACCTATTAATTATTGTTTAAACAGTAAAAGTTTTACTCTGAATTAGATAACAACATTTGACTAATATTTGCACAATTAATATTTGTTAATTTTTTTATACGCACGGTTAATAAATATCGGATTAAATTGGAAACATATAAAAAAATTCTAAACCGATTTTCACACATACTTGTAAATGTTTAAGGGGACACATTTATTTATCGGCAATTTTTCTATTAAAAAATCCCGTTGAATAGGTTATCTCATTGTGTAGGTCATCGAGTAATACATTAAACATTGTTTGTCATGTACACAAATTATGTAAATAAGCATGCAGTTCCCGAATGCTACAGTCATAGAAGTATTGATTAATTAATTATTTTGCAGAAGAAACTATTCCTTCATCCACGACACTAGTTACCTATTCTAGTAAGTACTCAAACTCGATCAAAATTCGTTTAGTTTCCTCTCACATTGCAAAATTTACAGCGGACAAGACTATGAAACGGACGTCGCTTTATTCGAAATGTTCAAAAACCAGGAAACTGGACTTCTTCACATTGGAAAATTCTTGTCGGTACATGCAACGTTTTTAATGTGTAACAAACGTTCTAAAGCGCGAGTTTTTTAGGCTGTCAAGGCTACGGGTCTCAGAAAAACCGATCCCAGATTAAGGGAAATGATGGAAAATCTCAAAAAATTATCCAAAACCAAATCCGATGGCAACGATGTTGATACGCAAAAGTTGAATTTAGAGCAATTTAAAAGGTAAGTTTTAAAATTTTAATTATACATTGATATTAACAGTTTTAATTTAGAAATAAATTGGTAAAAATGATGAAATTTTTGTGGATTATTAGTTAAAATAGGACTCAACTCATTAACTGTTCCGGTGGTTTTATCACCATGGTTTTTGTTGATAAGAACAATTGTTCTGCAAAAAAATATCTTTGAAAATAAGTATTTTAACGTAAAAACTCTGATTCACTTGATTTTTTTATTGTAGTATCTCTGGTGGAATTCCAACTTTGTACTAAACAATTCGAAAATCATTCGGTTAGAATTTACAATAAATTCGATAAATCAGTGTCTATTATTGATGAACAGTGCAATTTTAAAATTTTGTTTTTATTTATTTTAGTTTAATATTATTCAATACGTTTTATTACTAGCAATTGATCTTCATTATATTCGATTGAATTTTTATAATCGATTATACGAATGTTATTAATAGATTTTAATTTTGAATTGTAGTTTAGAAAATACTCCGTTAGTTGTGCAAATTAATTTAACAAATCCAAGGACTATTTATTAGTAAAAATTGCATCTTTTGGTTTGATTTTTTCCAATGAATCTAGTTAATTAAAATCTTATTAAAATGTTTTGTTGGTATCAGGATCTAGTAGTTACGATTTTTTGGTAAACATACGTATGTACACGCAACAATTTAATAAATAAATTAGCACCTCGAATACGATTATTAGTGACAATTTTATACTTACTACGAAGTTTCTCTATTGATCCTGCAATACAGTAGCACACACAAACTAATTATATATACATTTTAAACTTAAATGTTAATATAATGCACTTAATTCCAGCATCGTGCAACCGAATATTGCACTTCTATCCATGGCATTTAGACACCAATTTATAATTCCAGAATTTCAAGAATTTAGTAAGGATATAGAACTAATTTATTGGAGATGCAAGGAAAATACAAATGGAACGGTATATAAATTTACGTTTTTTATAAGTTTTAAACCAATTTGTTTTAAATAGATTATTCTACGTGTCGTTTATAACTGATCTATTTTTACTTTAACCTTTCACTTTTTAATCAAGACTTATTTATTATTTTTACATAACATTAAACCTAAATAAGAGTAGTATCTCCTGTTCACCTATGAAACACCTCGTATAGCTAATGGATTAAATAGCGCAAAAACTTTCTGGTGTTGAAATTTTATTGTTCCAGGTAGCTTCGTACATTCCGCAATTAAAACGAATGAATCCCAATTACTGGGGCGTGAGCATCGTGACAATAGACGGGCAACGCTACTCAATAGGGGACGTGAACATCCCGTTCACGATCCAATCCTGCAGCAAACCTCTATCGTACGGCATAGCCTTGGACTTGCTCGGAGCCGACGTTGTTCACCAGTACGTTGGCCAGGAACCGAGCGGCAGAAATTTCAACGAATTAATTTTGGATCACAACAGTACGAAACATTTTATCGAGATCGATCCGAGATTTTTCGTTTCATTTTTTAGAGAAGCCCCATAACCCGATGATTAACGCCGGGGCGATTATCATTTGCTCGATGTTGAAGACGATGTACTCGCCGGAAATGAGCTCTGCCGAGAAGTTCGATTTCACAATGAATTTCTTCGAGGTGATTTGGAGGTTTTAGCTGGTTAATCGGTTTTGTTTATTCAGAAATTGGGTGTTTCAGCGACTCGCTGGAAGGGAAGATCTGGGATTCAACAACGCTGTGTTCTTGTCAGAGCGCGAATGCGCCGATCGGAATTACGCCCTGGGATTCTACATGAGGGAGCACAAGTGCTTCCCAGAAAATAGTAAATTTAGGGAATGCATGGATTTTTATTTCCAGGTAAATTCCTTTAGCGAATTATTATTGTTATATACTCATCGGTTCCTTTCAGTGTTGTTCATTGGAGGTCAATTGTGATTTAGTTGCTGTAATGGCAGCTACTTTAGCCAACGGTGGTATTTGCCCGATATCTGAAGAAAAAGTATTGAAGCCCGAGAGCGTCAGAGACGTTTTATCCTTAATGCACAGCTGCGGAATGTACGATTATTCCGGGCAATTCGCGTTTAAGGTACTAATTAAATAAACGAACGTGAATTTTGTAAAGAATTGGGTGTTTTCAGGTGGGTTTGCCAGCAAAATCTGGCGTGAGCGGAGCCATGCTGGTAGTAGTTCCAAATGTAATGGGCATGTGCTTGTATTCTCCTCCTTTAGACCCTCTGGGAAATAGTTGTAGAGGCGTGCAATTTTGCGAGGTAAGAATTAACACAAAATATTAATTTGCCCCGTAACTAAATGGTCTTTCTGCAGGAATTGGTAGAAAAATTCAATTTCCATAGATATGATAATTTGAGACACGCTTCGGATAAATCCGATCCAAGAAAACACAAATTCGAAACTAAAGGTCTCAATATCGTTAATTTGTTGTTTTCGGCAGCTTCCGGTGATTTGCCCAGTCTGAGAAGGTAATTTTCTTTCAAGCAATTCCACCAAACAAGCCTATTTTTTTTTAATCTTCCAGACACAAATTATCAGGCATGGATATGACATTGTCGGACTATGACGGGCGTACTGCCCTTCATCTAGCTGCAGCTGAGGGACATTTGCATTGCGTGGAATTCCTGCTGAACTACTGCAATGTACCGTATGATGTAAGAGATAGATGGGGCAGGACACCCTTAGAAGAGGCTACTGCGTTCGGACACAATTCCGTTATAGAAATGCTGCAATTGTGGGCTGAGGAGGAAAAGAAAAAGTCTAGTCAAAACCAAAAAACTCAAGATGATCCTTTAATACCTGAATTTCTGAGCAAAGATGAGAAACATTAGAATTCAGGTATCCAGTATTTAATTATGTGCCGTGGCAATAATATTTGAGAGTTAAATAAATATATTTATTGTGAATAAAATTCTGTTAAGCTGAGTAATATTTTTCTGTCCACCATCCATGATTTTGTCCATCAGTTTGAGTTTTTTTACCTTAGCTCCTTCTCCCAATGTTATAGCTACATAGTTTATGGAGTAATTGAATACAAAAAATAATTCTTAATTTATTTATTTCGTTGGTAGTTACCAACCACTGCTATTTGGGAAAACCATAAATTAAAAAAGTAAGTAAATACAGTTTTAAATTACTTGCTTCGTACAACATAACTTATTTACTTAATGCTAAGGATATTTTTTTAATTAACTAATTTTTATTCCGCAAAAATTATTTTATATTTACAGCTAATTTAAGTTTAAATGTAAGGATGTTGATGAGGTATGAAGAGCCTTTTGTTCTCGACACCTGAACAACATCGAAAATTTTTATAAATAAAGTATAGTTATGTATGTACTTACTCCCATACATGTAATTCTACCAATTTCTGATTTAGAACATGGAAAAAGTAGCAATAATGATAATATTTGATTAAATTCGTTATAACTTAAATACTTTCATCCAAACAAGGACGAAAAATAGCAAGAAAGTTCTCTATCAAAGCTATTAATTACCCTTAATGTTTGAAATGTTTACGTAAGTATAAAAAATATATATGTTTAATATTATAAGTAAAAGAGAAAAAAATTTAAAACAATTTCTTCCCTATAAATAATATTAAACAGTATTAATTGATCAATTTAAGTAGAATTAAATTTACAGCCAAAAGCGATTATTGAATGTCTCGAAAAGTATTTTAAAAATAAACTATTTTATATGGCAGGCAATATCGATATGTTTAGAATGTGACCATACCCCAGAGTGTGCATCAATCATAAAGTCGCATTCTATTATACAGTCGATTTTTACAAATATCTTTTTTCGCGATTACTTCTAACAAAACATAATTTCATAGCTAATGAGAGTACTGAAATTAACTAAATTAATCCCCAATATCGTTATCGATTTTGCTACTTTTAACTCCTGTATTTCCGGTCCACGGATAGATATCTGGACAAGGTTGGCAAGTCTTCATGTATCTTACTCCAGATTTGTGCCATAAGTTACATACTTTCGGATTGTTGCATCTTTTAGGACGGTCCTAAATTAAAACAATCACAGTTATTTAATTTATTTTTTTAATTAATTTAATAAACTTACTTGATAGTTACACTGGAATGGTTGGAACGATCCAATTCTAGAAATAGGAGTCGGATCCCTAACCCATTGAATAGCTTGCCAGTTTGTCATGAACCAAACATCATTTTTAGCCAAGATCGTATCGATGAAATTGATGAAACCTTCTTTATGGTGTGGTTGGGTAAACCAGGCAGCGTGATAGAACAGACCGAATGGAGCCCTACAATAAAATAATCCAATCTCCTGCAAAAACTTGCACGCACTACAAATTTACCTATTAGTGGTGTAATGCCTCATGAAGTTTTTCAGGAGCATTTTGTAAACGCCATCTGCGTCGGGAGGGTTACTGCAAGCGTCACCCATGGAACATCTTCCTCCGTTCAAATCTTGCCACATCACCATGGGCACTTCCCAAACACCAGGATAAGATCTGGTGGGACACGGAGGTATCATGCAGTCGTGGAAGAGTTTGTAATCCAAAGTGTACGGCCAGCTGGGAGGTTTGTTTTCGTAGATTGGCATAGATGAATCGTAAGTAAAGTTGGAATCGTACAACATTTTGAACATCTTATTACCACCAACCTTGCAAAGAAATCGTTTTAAGTTAAGAAGGTTTTATTTATTTTGTTTGGAGACTTACTGATAAGAAAGGAGCTCTCATTCCTCTGACGTCTTCGAGATGAACTCCGCCGTAGGCAGCGAGGATTTCCCGTTGCCCTGAAACTTCTCGAGTCCATTTCTTTTGCGAGAATTGTTCTCCAAAACTATGCCTGCGTAAACATGTAGAGTTATTTAGTTAGTGTATAGAAAAACAATTAATTACATTAAGCAAGCTTATTTAAACACATGAAACCTTAGCAGAACAGATTAAGAGTGCAAATTTTTAATTTATATGTGCAGATAATATGACAAGACTTACGATACTGTGTGAGAAGCAAGTTCGTGACCATCTGAATATAAATTCTGGACCTGACTATAATCAGTCCATTCGTGGGAAACATAGAATGTAGCAGCTATGGGACATCCGTTGGGATTCGTTCTACCTTTTTCGAATAAATCTTGGTACAGACCTTTGTTCAAATCATTAACCGAATCGTCGAAAGTTAAAAGAACCATTTGTGGTACTTGCTCCACGGGAAGGTCACCTGTTAGTTAGTAGCATAGAAAAGAAATATGTTAAACAAAAATAATGGCAGGAAAATTAAGCTTAGGAAGTATATAATTGAGATCAGCTCCTGCCCCTTGGTCAAACAGGACCACTTACGAGACTGTATGCGATGCTAATTCATGTCCGTCTGCGTAAAGATTTTGCACTTGACTGTAATCTGTCCATTCGTGCGATACATAAAATGTAGCTGATATAGGACACCCGTTTGGATTCTTCCTGCCGTTCTCGAACAAGTCAATGTAATATTGCTTATTTAAATCGTTAACTGCATCGTCAAATGTTATTAAAACGATTTGTGGTGTTTCCTCAATAGGAATATTGCCTAGTTGATAAAATAAATGAACATTTTTGCTTCAAATAATACAAAACCTGTTAGATCTTTAGCGAGATCTTTAGCGAGATCTTCTTGTAAAATCATATATTTTGTGAATGTGAACTACTTACCAGGAATTTCTTTGCCACCGCAACTGCAGTCGGGAAGCAAACAAACATCTTTGCGACATTTGGCGGCTGTTTTATCGACTTGGGGTTGCGGATAAATCGGATCAGGTCGTCTTGGTGGGTATCTATAGACATCTACGTATTCTTGAGCTTTAGATACAATTGAGGTAGATGGTTTGAGCGTCGGTCTAGATCGACTAGAGACAGTAGAATTTTATGAATATATATGGTAAAGAAATAAATTCGGTGTATGGGTATTTTGTGTACAAAAAATATAGTTACTCACGTAGGTGGTGTACCCCGATTGTTAGTGACAATTACTTCGTTATTAGTTATTTGGTCACCTGCACCAGAGTATTGTACTGAACCACGTCCCCTTGATGGTGTTCTAAAAATAACGTATTCTTTGTAATGTCCTCCATTGCTCCATTAAATACCTACCCAGGTTTGTGTTAAGTCTTCAATAAAATTATCATTATTTTCATGCAAACATTTGTTTTGTCATATTGTTAGACCCAAAAAGCCAATATTAATGAAAGAAGGCAAACGCTTCCAGCCGAAATGAATAAAAAAACAAAGAAATTTTAAAGTTTGAAGACACAAAATGCTGTATTTATTTTCAATTTTTTTTTTCTAGGAATGAATTGAATTTTGATAAACAAATTAATTATTAGTGTTGGTGTCATTGTTGTAATTAAGTAATGAGAATTCGCACAATTTTGGGATGGGATTTTGGGTTGTTCATAAACGTTGTTTTGTTAGGAATATATAACGTTATTTTGACTACTTCCCAACGAATTTTTGACATTTGCTTCCCTTCAATAATATTTATTATTCCGATAAGATTTTACTATTAATTAGGAATCATCGTTGCGCCGTATTGAATCCAGTCAAATCTTCTTTTTGTATTTACATAAAATGAATCAACATATTATGTAAAATTCGCAATTTCATATCCGATGTCCGCTGGGTAGTCTTCCATAGCACAATTTATATTCCTTTAGAGTTTGTGATGTTTCCTATTTTCAAGTAAAATCTATTTCTGAAACACCTTCCTCTGTTATGTCATTATCAGTTTGTGAATCAACGTGTGTTAGTTTCAATACCATTAATAGTGTACTTAATGATCTGTAAGTACTACTTCGTTGTAAATTTTTGTTAATGAACTACTTCGTTTTAATGCACTTCTGCTAGAATCTACTGATGCAGTAATTTCACGAATTATTCTAAGTATTAGATAGATATTACAAAAAACTATAACTGTTCGAGCAGAAATGAGATCCTATGATGATTATAAACTATAAGAATGTGCAGTTACAAATCAAAAATCAGTCCCGTAGTGTTTGAACTACTAAAGTGCAACAGTAAAAAAGATAATTAAATAAATAAAGCCACTGATATAGTTAACAGAAAAGGTGCTGTGAATTAGATAAGAGAAGACTGTCGTCATGCATTTATATTTCGCAGTTTAACTAGTGGAGGAATAAATACCTCTTGTTGGAATAATTTTTTGAAGGGAAAATAACACCCTCTTTGTTTTTATTGAATCCTCGCGTCTCGCCAAGTGAAATGAGAGATTTAATACCGGCGTTGACACGTGACGCTCTAGTTGGGTTCGAATCATTATGCAGAAAATTTGCTTTAGTCGTTGTTGTTATAATGGGTTTGGAAAAAGGTTTGGGTTCTTGTTTAGAAAAATGGTCTTGTCTCGGTCTTTTCGTAGTTTTTGTATTTGAATACGTCTCTGTTGAACCTAATTCTACTTCTTTCGAATGATTTTCTTCAGCATCTTTGCTATCATTGTCTGTTCGAATTGATGGTGATGTTATTTCCGTGGAAGTAGTTGTTTCTGTTGAAGTAGTTATCTTATGGTAACTAGGAAGTTTTTTGTTTACAAATCTTGTGTTTGTTGGTACAAATTTATCGTTATTTATTCTCACATCACTTGCGATATATTTCAATTTGACGGGTTCTTCTTCCGATAAATCTTGTGCATTAGATGGAGATAATTCGTAGTTGAGTGATACAGGATTTAATACTTTCCTTACAGCCTTCAAAGCTTTGTAAGCTTTAAGATTGTTGCTTTGAGTGTTTTGGTAGACAAGCGGGTTCGAGTTGGATTTCCAGTTGTTCGAAATCGGCGTTGTTTCTATTAATACCGGCTTTGCAATAGGAGCTTTTAAAACAAATCTAAACGGCGAGTAAGTAGTCGGGGTTATAACTTGCGTAAGAGAAGGATATCTATTTACAGAATTACTGCGCGATAAATTTTCATCCGGTATTTGAGTTGTGGTAGTACTAGTGGTAGCACTAGTCGTAGTTGAAGTAGGGCTAGCTTTTGTAACATAATGATAAGCAGGTCTGTTAGTGGTTGGTATTGGCTCATTAAAATTCGTCTCTGAAACGTTTTTTACAACGATTTGCTGAGAATCGGGATAAGAATCGAATATGACGAACGTAACATTCGGAGTGTTGATAGAATCATCAGGAGTTTCGAGGTATGTAGGAGGAAAAGGTTCGTATTTGTCGTATGATTGTTGGTAGTTTGATGGGATTGCGTTTAAAACGGTTTCTGCAATTGATTGATTCTGGTCTGTTGGATCAGGTCGCGTGCTAAAAGAAACGATTTATTTTATGGACCGCTAAGATAATTATATCAGTCGTTAATAAGATGAGCTAATTGACAAACTAATTTTCTAACTAAATTAACAGGTGTCTGTTTTGAGTTTTGAGTTGCATCTAATGTCACAAGTTATAAAAAATGTTGGTTTATTCGTTAGAATTGCCGATAATTGTTTAAAGAAAATTTTGCAGTTAGCAAGTTATTGTATAGGTAAGCAGTTCGAAGCTAAAAACATCTCATCTTATTAAACAACAATTGGACTACGTAAGCTTGGTTAATATAAGACCGAAATAAATGGAAGAATTAGAAAGGATGAATATGAAAGATACTACAAAAATTATAACTAAATCATGATACTCTAAATAACGCATGCTGTTTTGTTTTTGTAGTACCTCGTTGGGGTTTGTGAACTTGTTTTTAGATGAATAGTTCGTTGGGTCGTAGTTGTGAATGTTGTTGTACTAGTAGGTTTTCTTGTTGTGGTTGTTGTAGAAGTAGTTGTTCTTTTAGTTGATCTTTTAGTGGTAACCTCTTCAACATCATTCAATTCATTCCTGTCTCCCCTAAGGTCGTTATTCACAGAAACGTTTGTTAATTAAAGCGATAAAAACTATTACTTACCTGTAAGATTGTCTGTTGCTTTGTTTGTAAGATCCTTGATCATCAGCCTGAAAATATTCTCCACATTTACCTTGGTGATTTCAAATTATTGAAGTGTACTTTTACCTGATTGTCATATTTATTGTTATCAGCGTAATCAGAGGCTGTAGATGGTTGATAAATGTCTTGATGGTTTATATTGTTTTCAATATAAACAGTATTACCGCGTCTTGGTATTTCATTTCTCACGGAAGCCGTCGTGACTGTACTAATGGGCGATGTTCCCCTATAAGCAGTAGATGTTCCATGCTGATTATTACTGTTGTAATTGTTCTCATTGGCGGGATATTCTGTAATATGAAGAATCGGTTTTAATGCAGTCGCTAAAAATTACAACTGTTTTACCGTCTCGATATATTTCAACATCGTCTTCGTAAAGGGCGTAATAAGGCTCATAACGGTTGTCGTTATACTGCGATGCGTTATAAATGTTTCTTGCTGGAGCAGTCACAGCGGAAACAGAGGCTTGTTGTGGAGCAACAGTTTTTTCTTCACTAGGAACAGATAAATAACAAAGATATTAGGAAATGTTGTGCATTATTCTATCAATAATAGAGAGTGTCTACTCTCTATGATTGATGACTCTATCAAAACATGCTTTTTATTTTTAAGTATAGTTATAGTTAGATAGTCATTAACCAGTTGTCAAATGTCCAAACTTGTCGGTTTTATAATGGTGTTAGTCAGAAGGATCGCAGAACAATATTGATGTAATTCTATATACACGCCATGAAAGATTTAGCCACTTACTTATATTTACTATACAAATTAATGCGAGAATATATACAATGCGTTTGAATTGAAGTTTTTACAAATTATTCTATGTTCACTTTCGAATTTAATCATTATGCTAATAAATTAGTAAAACTAGGTACCTTATGAAACCAATGATACATTCTTATTAACTTTATACATAATATATTACAACTACTTAAAGCTATTTTTTATTAAATTAAACATTTTTTCACCTACAATTTTACCAGTCACGTTTTTACAACAAATTAATGTATTCATTGGAGATTTTCTATTAGTTAGTTCTTTTTACAATATGTACATTTGTTTGAACAAAAAATATTTGTGTTTAAAATTATTTTGCTTTATTCAAAAGCATACTGTCAAAACAAATAACAATTAACTATATTTGATTTATGTCTCTTAAAATTTGATAAAATTGTACAGATATATTTTCAGAATGACATCATTTTGGTTTGTTTTTGAAGAATTTATTTAATATGGTTTTCGTCTTAAGCAATACTTTTTGTCCAAAAAATGGTAATAAACTTATTCAAAACAATCGACAATACCTCTAGTTTTAAATTTGCCAGTTTTACTATTATACAATCACTTTTACAAGCGATATATGTACATAGGTATTGTCAAGGTATTGTACAATATATTTCAAGATCCAAAAATTTTGACTATTTAAAATAATTTTGATTAGTCAAATTTTTGTCTTTATATTAGTAGTCATTTATATTAATACACAATTAACTAAACTTCCTCCAAGATATTTTTACCTTCGATTAATCTTCCTGTGAGGTCTTTTAGTATTAACTGAATTGGATTGTGTTGTTGTTTGTGGTCTAGACATTTCTTCGATTTTCTTTCTACTTGCGCTACCTCTAGAAGATCTCGGTGTAGAATTATTTTCAGAAGTTGTTTTTTGTCTTGCAGTAGTTGAACTTGATGAAGTAGTGATAATTTGTGGAAATTCAGTAGTACTTTTCGTATGTGGAACAGGAGTACTATTAGTTTTCTTGTTCAAATCAATATCAGGATAATAATATTCATCATCGTAATAATAGATATAATCCTTATTATTCCTTTTATCTTCAGGTATCGACTCATCTTCGTAATAGTAATAGTAGTAATCATTCGAGTTGTTTAGCTGGTTAATTTTGACAGCTGGTCTTACTTTCGAATATGGTTTAGGTTCCTGTTTAATATCTTGCGAGCACATACTCTTGTTCGTACTGCATCCTAGAGTTTGATAGGTCTCAGTTTTAGGAATGACTAACACCGAGCCGTTTCCTAAATTTTTATAAACATAATTACTAGCATCGAAAATATTCCTGTGTTTATCACTTTCATCAGGATATCGATAAGTGTTCGGAGAAGGCGAAGTTACTGTTGTCGTTGGTGGTTTACTTGTAGTCTGTTTCTCGGTCGTCGTTATGAATTCTTCGTATCGTTTCAAAAACTCTTCAAAATCGAAGTTAGGATTGGCAAATGGGTTGAAATTGCTGCTGGACATAAAATGCTCCGTGGGTGCTTCGTTTACAACGGCTTTGTTGTTGGTAGTTTCGTTAGTTTTACTTTCTTTCAAGTTATTTTGTAATGGTTCAGTTGTGCTAGTTATTTCTGTATAAGGTGATACGATGGCTTGAGTTAGCTGGCTGCTTTTATTGGTTTTTATCGATTGGTTTGGTGTACTGGAGAGAAGTTTTTCTGTTTCTGCTTGCATTATTATGATAGGCGATGGTTTGTATTTAATACTATAGCGATTCCCATCGTTAGATCTTAGATTTGTGTAATCATCGACGTATCTAGAGGTAGATGTTCTGGGTTCATCAGCGTATTTTCCGAAAGCGATGTATTGGTAATTACTGGATTTTTGGTAACTGGGCGTAAAAGGGTGAAATTCTTCTTCGTTGTTACTTATAGGAGCACTGGGATTAAAACTAATTCTCTTTGTTTTACTATAAGGGTGTTCAGTCAGTGGCTGAAATTGCACTTTTTTTTGAGTCCCTTGATGATGGTGTATGGTTTCGGGATAGCGACTAAAACATTTTTAATAAACTATACTCACCGTTACGTTCTGCATAATTGTTTTAATCAAAGTTGGATATTTGATTTATAATAGAAACCAATAAATCAAATATCTCGCCTTGAAACAATAAGTTTGTAATGTCTATTTTTTACCTTTTGCGTATTTGTCTCTTTTGTCTCCTCTTATTTGATGTCAAATATTTTAGTACTGTGTTGTTATCAGTCGATCTGGTAGAGCGAATTAATGTGAATAGCTATTTTTTAAAGTGTTGCAAAATCTTACCTGTAGTGCTGATTTTGAGTTCCAAATGATATAACACCGATTTTTTCGCCCCTTCCACTATACGACTGTAACAAATTTAATCAATAAACATTCTATTTCTGCGTACTTAAGGCAGGTAATTTTTATTTTATTTTACGATAATGCTAAACAATCGAGTTCGGTTTAATTTAGAGTTTCAAGGATTAGAATTGCTCTATTAAGGTAGAAAGAATTGTGTTAATGTTCCAACTGTTAGTCATTAACATAACAATTCGAATCTTTTGTTATTGGCAGGGAAGATAGCATTTTTAATAGATGTAACGGCACAATTACTTACAGATATGGCATTAGAATGTCTGAGACCATCTCGATCTCTTTGTACTTGACCAATTGTTGAAGGTTGTCCACGATAAACGCGTTGTTGACGATCATTTTCGATTTCTTCAGCTGGTGGTAATGTTTCTTCTGCATCAGCATACAGTTGTTGTTGTTGTTTTCTCTGAAAACATAATTTGCGTTTTTGTTGCATTGTGAAATTATTAATTTGGTTATTTGAGTAATATAACTTGATTTTAAGCCATTCTTGCGGTAAGCGCTTGCTCAAAAGTTTTGCATGAATTAATATCTTTGTACAGAGTTGGGCAAAAGTCCGGAATAAAATTATTATCTTTTGAACCAGTAATTTAAACAAAAAACGCCGAAACACGTAAATTGATTTTATATTGTACGGATTTGTTGCAAATAAAATGATTTTTTTTTCTTCAACCCCTTAGTTGCAACCCTACCCAACTTTATTTTTTCAAATGCAAAGGTATGTCGTGTGTAGGGTCATTGAAAAGCCCGTGAAAAATGGAATCTAAAACATACCTTTTTTTTTATTTTTCTCATGTTGTTATTTGGAAATGAGCAAAAATTTCTTTTAAAAACAAAAAAGTTACAAATACCTTTTTAGTGCTATCGACGTAGCAATGTTGAAAATGCCCTTCACCATCTATTTGACAGGCTCCCAGGCATTGGTAAAACGTAATATCGATAGCATATCTTTAATTCTGAATGACTTTTTAATAAAAACAGGCGAACCTTTGGTAAAAAAAACTTGTACAAAAATGCAACACCTGTTTTCCTTTTTGAAGTTCACTGATCAACAATGGCTTAGAATTAAACCCATTTTATGTTTTTGTTTTTTCTTAAAACATAAATTTCAACGAATGTTGATGCTAAATTGCCTTATCAGTTTTAAACGGTAAATCAATAAAATTTGGTGTGCTGCCTGACCAGGCTCGCCTGCTTTTAATAAAAGTTCATTCAGAATTAAAGATAGGCTACCGATATTAGGTTTTACCATTGCCTTGGAGCCTGTTAAGTAGAGTAAGCCTTAATTCACACGTCGATACCACTAAAAAAGTATTTGTAACATATTTGTTTTTAAAAGAATTTTTTGCTCATTTCCAAATAACAACATGAGAAAAATAAAAAAAAAGGTATGTTTTAGATTCCATTTTTCACGGGCTTTTCAATGACCATACACACGACATAACTTTGCATTTGAAAAAATAAAGTTGGGTAGGGTTGCAACTAAGGGGTTGAAGAAAAAAAAATCATTTTATTGGCAACAAATCCGTACAATATAAAATCAATTTACGTGTTTCAGCGTTTTTTGTTTAAATTACTGGTTTAACAGATAATAATTTTATTCCGGACTTTTGCCCAACCCTGTATATCATTTACCTATGCATATTTCTCCGTCAATCAGACCGATTATTATTTTGAAACGAAAATATTCTTGGGCAATATTAATATTTGCTACGGCCGCATAATTCTTATTGAGAAATAGTTAATTCTTAAGTAAATTTAGTTGAAGAGAAGAGCTGTTTGCATTATAAACTGGTAGTCCTTCTAACATATAACACATACATAAACCACTATAAAATTATGTACGTACGCACTTCTAAAGGAAATTCATCTAAGGTAGGCTACTATTACGATTTTATAATATTCATTTCCCCAATTGTGAAAGTTTACCGGCTCCAATTTCTTCTCTTGCAAGTATCTAACGTAAGACGGTAATGTATAAATATCGAAGTTTATTTAGTAGCGATACATATTTTTTAAATGGTTAAAGTCTATTGTATTTTTTATGCGTTCTATTACACAATATTTCCTAAGTAGATGTTAAGTGTTAGGACTGCGGAACTCTAGTTTTATCATTATCATTTCCAAATGGCTCTGTTGATACAACTACAATGGATCATATTTTTAAAGGCTAAGATAGTATCGAAGATATTAAGCAATAACTAGATATTACTAGTAGTTAAGATTTATCTCCTATGTAATATGAATAGGATTTACAACACAATAGTGTGGGTGTTAAAGAATTCATTATAATTTATTTAACTTTAAATATGGTCTAGATAGATTGGATTGTATAGGTAGATTGAATTCATTTCGCATTAGGAAATGAACTTTAACCTTTAAATTAAATTACATGAAATTTATCAAACCTTTATAATTTCCTGTTGATTCTGATGCAAATTCCTGGGTTGCCCTCTAGATGTAACAACAGCAGCTGGTTGAGCTGGAGGCGGTGGTGGCGGAGGCGGTGAATATTTCGATCTTTGCTCATCCCTAACATTTTCCTTTTCTCTTGTCCTTTCCTTACCTCTCGACGGTGTGTTGTAAGAGAAAGAAGTTGATGAGCCTGGAGCATCTAAACCATCGCAACCGACGTTTCTCGGCCAATCGCACGTTTGCAGCTCATGACTAAAGGAAAAGTTAATTGATACGAACTAATTAGAATAATTAGAATTGTACGTACCTGTACATGAGACCTCCTGTACACGACTCCAAAAGTGCTCCACCAAATACACAGACATAGTACTGCGTACAGTCGCTAGGGTGAGGATAATACCCGAATTCTTCGGGACAATCGAAATTTACTCCAGTTTTTATGCTGGTTGCGATCGGAGCATTTCTAAATTTCCTCTCTGCAGAAATGACCCCTGAAATTAAAAAAAATTAAATATTTAAATGTGCTTGCTTCTTGAAAGTGGTTTTTGCATTTAATTTAGGCTCACGGTCGCTTAATTACTATAATGTCACATTCTGAATAAAAGAATTTAAAGGTTATTTCCTGCTCGAATTTGCCGAACTTCGATGGGTAGATGATCCAGTTTTCATGGTTACTTCGTAGCGCTCTTTTTAAATCAATTTAATTTGAATGCCACCATGTACGTATGCAAATCGACATCTCTTTCTTATATTTCCTGATTTTTAAAAAAATATCAATTCAATATAAAACTACATATAACATAAAAAGCGTGATTGAAAAATTCTCGATTTAAGCTAGTTTAAGATTTATGATCTAGAAAAAATCGAATTAGAATCTATAGCTATTCGTGAGTGTTGTTTCTGCAACCTACGAGGTCAACGTAAGTTTAGGTGTGACTGAAAATGACCTTCTTGTTTTATCCATTTACTTCGTATTGTTGTGTACCCAGAACAGTGACGGACTTCGATGGAGTCGTGAACTCTTTTTCGCCCTAAGGCATTCCATGCGATAATAATATACAGACATATCGAATGCGTGACCTAGTGACCTACACTTAATGACTTAAATATGTAATTATATCGATTTAACGAGTGAATTTCTCAAGCGAGAGTGTTGTGTAGGTGGTCCTTACAAAAAGCATTAAATATCGTTAATGAGATCGAAAGGAAGAGAGTTTCATTTTCAATTTAAAGGACGTTCATTTGGAGTGGTCATGACAATTGATTTATATAGACTTTCTCAATAAAAGTGAACTGGAATTAATAGAAGTCTAAATAAATATTTTCTTAGGAAGCGAGAGAAAGACCATAACTTAGCTCACTGCATGTAAACGTTTGAGTACTTTATTTCAATTACATTTCGATTTCAGCTAGTGTAATAATTATATTTCACAAGTTGCCACTTAATTTTTTTCCAATAATATGTTGTAGGCACAGTGCATGTCTATTTATTTGGATCACGATTTCGATTTCAGCATTAACCCAGAAAATTTCATTTAAATTGACCTCCCGTAGCTTCAGCTTTACCTATTCGCATCGCACATCGCATAACGTATCTCGTTTCTCAATAATCTTTTTATGCGTACCTTGAAATTGAAGAATCTTTCTCAAGAGCCATCACGTAATCGATTCATGATTTAAAATAAAGCACAGACGCGTCAAAGTGATATTGAGTAAAGAAAATCTTTTAATTGTAAAATCAGTAGGTTAAAGGTAGTTTGCAATGTATTGAAAGGCCTATTTATGAATTATGGACTTTTTCATTTGCTTTACCAATTTGTATTTATCATATAAATTGCCTTTTTGCAACATTTATGGGAAAGGGCAAATTTATTGCTTACAAAAGAAAAAATTAATAATATTATTACCAATAATTTACTTTGGTTCATTTTGAGCCAAAATTTAGAATAATTCGAGTTTGATTCGAACTATGATCGATTTGAAACAGATTTTTTTGCTTTTACCGCTTTCTCTGTGGAGTTAAATTTTGCATAATCGGATTAGTCGTTAGCATGTGCCGAAATTTGAATAAATAAAACATGCAATTTAAGAAGAAGTTTTGACCTTTTTGATCCGAAACAAACATCATTTGACTTGTTTTATTATATAATAAAGTGAAGTCGTACGCGAGCAAATCAATAAAATTTCATAAATTTCATAAGTTAGTTTTTGAACTGCGTCTACTAAACGTACTTAACTCATCGAGTAATATTATTTCAGACCTTTAGAATACATTGCGTAATATGCACGTAGGTATTTCAACTTTGCCTTTTTCATTTAAAGTATACCTATTATGAGGTTATTATACCTAAAAGGTTAGTTCGCATCCAATTTTCCCATCAAAATTATCTTATGAATGCTAGCTTGTTGAAACGCAGATAAATTTTGTAATTAATTTGGGCATTTTCACTATAAGATCTATGAGCAGATGCACGTGATATATGAAGTTGCTTCATTTTACCTTTCGCTATAATTCAAATTTTCCTTATATTATGATTACTACATCACAACTCAATGAGACATTGACCTCTCGAGAGAGCATGAGATATGTGAATAATTCGTTCGCAATGATAAAGGTTTTGAAAACATAAAATTAATCCGTCAACAATGCAACAAGTTGACAGAGGTGTTTTTACGAGAGTCATAAACGAATTGAAGCGAAAGGATTCAGTACTAACCGTTTGTGCAGTTAGTTATGAGCTATTGTGTTTCGAAGAAAGTGTTACACCGATTATGCTTCAAAGTCAAGGTCGAGATGGTTTTACATATACATATTTAGCGCGAAAAGGAGCATACTAACGAGTCGAGATGTTTACTTTCATTTGCTGGGAAATTGCTTGTTCAATACCAACATACGATTTTACGACAGTTTAATTTTGATTGATTGATTTTCGGTATGATTAATCATGGTTTTTGTAGTTGATGTCTGAAGAAAGACGGTCGGGACAAATTGCATTTGTGATAAAAAGAATTGAATGCGTGTGAAACAACAATCTAGTCAAATTGATCGGTTAATAATTACTGCAACAAAATATGTTTCCTCGTAATTAATCCGGATAAAATATAGCTGCAAGGTCGTTCAACAAAACGAGTACTTTCACTGTTACATTTTAGTCACATTGCTAAGGCGCGGGTGTTAGATAATTCTGAAAATAAACGGCGTTCTATTCCCGATTTACCCATGATTATCTTCTATGAAGTAAACTTAAAAAACTTATGTAATTTTCGATTTTTTTTATTATTTCCCACAATGCTAAGACAATGTGTCCAAACCATTCAACTATGTGAATTCTACAATTTGCAATTTTTACAAAAGCGAATTAGTTTTCTATGCCGCCCTAATTGGAAATGTGTCGCAATTGCCTACAAATTAGTTATTAATTTATTTTCTTTGAGCATTCGAGTCGTTATTATCGGATTAAAGATCTGTTACTACATGCATGCATATACAAACATAGTGAAGATGATTTTATCCTACAATAATAATCTCGACTTACAATCAAAATATAACAATAGCAGAAGATTGATTACATATGTTTTGTAACTCTATTACAATAAATGTTTGATAGTTTTTTTAAATCGACTTGAATACTATTTGTTTTCACTTCTTTAAACACCGCCGCTTTTGATTTTATTACAGTTGCCATAATATTTTTACAATTACTGACTCCACCTTTTATTATTGCAAGGTAATCAAGCAATTTGAACGGTGAACCCTTGTCAAAGTAAAATCCTGTTGTGTTTCAACAAACGCACTAGACTGGCAACCTCTTATTATAAATATCAAGGATATTTTGTTGTGTAATGGAAATTAATTATAACAACCATCACTGGTTATGCAGATATATCACCCACAAGTACTAATATACTCATACATCGCGATAAGTAGGTTTATTTATTTTCTATCAAGGTACCTAACATTATTAGATAGTAGGTGTATTCATTGAATTTTGTTTATTTTTACGATAAATGCTCGTTTTAATCAGTTAATCAATGATTGGAACGAGTGGTGGAGTAAACATGTACTAAATATTAGTGCATTTAATTTAATTCTAAAAAAATATAGATGATTTCTTTTCTCATTTATAAACTATGTTATAACATACTAAGCAATTTAAAATTCTGGTCAAACTAAAGGAGTGAGCACGATGTGATAATTATTAGCGAACTAAAAATAAGATTAAATCAATAGTGCCGGTATAAAATTGCATAATCTGGATTGAGCTGTATCAAATCCATCAACACATTTGACATAGACATCGATTTCCATTTTTTCGTAACGAACGTGTTCCAATACAACTTGAGAGAAGTATTTTTTGTAGATATTTCAAACAGGATCGGCTCAAAATCCGCCTGTGCAATAGCAAAGCTAAATCTGAATTTCCGATACGGTTCTGTATTTAGAGGCTGTTAAGATAAATTGTTATTATGCAATAATCTAAAGCTGTTCCACGAGTGACGTAAGTCGTTGATTTGTGCTTGCAGCTATGATTTGTATGAACTGCAATTGTCGAGTCAGTTCCAATCAACTGGTTCTTGTTTTGATATTAATTGTTCTTTTATAACTCGCACTTGTTCCGACTTTCTGGTTTTTTGGTTTAATTAAAAAGTGAAGAAATTTGTCATATCATATCCTAAAATTTTTAGTTGACATACTCGCTAAAGAAGTAGCTAATTGTCCTATTCTAATCGATCGAATAAAAATGAAGGTTATCTTGTAAACCTACTAGTCAAGAGTCAAGGTTGTTTGTTAATTACGTATTGGTTATTTTTTTCATATATTAAGGATTTCTAGTAACCGGAGGAATATTATTTGTATTATACGTTAGCAAATATGTAAAGGCAGAAGTGGAAATGTACTGTGGAATTAATCAACCACACTATACGAGTAAAAGGTTTTAAAGCAACTATTAATCTTGATATAATCAACGTTATAAAACAAATTGTAAGTTCCTACTGAAAAAAGCACCGTAGTTTTTTTTGTCCCGGTTGCATCAAGAGCAAGTCATTTTTTGCTATTAGAATGAACTTTTTAACGGCACTCGGTATGGTGAAATAGAGTAAGCGGGAAAGTGAACAGCATAATATGTGATTTGAACACGCGACTGCAGCCCACCGCCCCGTTCCGTCGCATAAATTGTATCATGTGCACTATTTGTAAACAGCTCGCATTTGAAAGAACGCATTGCTCTAAATTCATTTGCTTATTGATACCGAAAGTGAAAGCCTTATAGTGAAAGTATCACATTACGTTAGCGATTTTCGACAAAATATTGCCATATTCGCCACTCGCCACCGACAAATATTATACAATACATACATGTCTGGATATTAAACTAACAATTGTCTATAATTGTTATTAAATAATACTCTCATCATCAGTGTTGGTAGGTCGTCAGGTAAATTATTAATATGTTGTGTGGTATAATTTGATGAGACGTGGGAACTCTTCTTTACTTGTCATGAGAATATTCTAATTTTTAATTACATTCTGATAATGCTCTTTTATACCAAATACTTTACATAACAGATTATTCTCACGAAAAAAAAACCCAATCAATATACGCAATCAGGATTATTATTTAGTTATTACGCTCGGGGATTGTTCCCGAAAAGTTTTCAATTTATTCTGTACCTATCTCTTTAAATAACTACCTCGAATCTAGGAAGGTTCTATTAAATTGCCTCACTATTTATAACACAATTTAATTCGAGTCGATCATGTGATTTAGCAACCCATCAAACAATTTTAAAAAGATTGTAGCCACAATGGTCTTGTATCGTGACTTGATTGATGATTATAATAATGAAATACTGCCTAATTAGTTTTTAGAAAATTTACAAATATTTACAAACATGGCCTACGTGTCTGCCGATGGACATGAATAAATCAAAAAACAATATGTTTCATTAATTCGATTTCTTTTGTCATTAATTGAGCATCTTTAACCAAATTATACACGATAATAAATAGTTTTAATTTTAATAAATAGCTATCAGAGGTCACGGCTGCTGAATTAAATAATTATTTTTTCAGACAGCTGTAATTAATTAATAATTTTATTTAATTGAATTTACTGCTTACCTACAAATACTCGTAAAATAATTAAACTGTTTCTTTCATAGTCGCTGTTAATATTAACTATCACTTTCTTTGATGTTGAAATCTGTCGTATTTACCAAATCACCCAGGGTGTCGCTAAATTCATACGCTCATTAAATATCGAATAACTTGAATTTTTTTATTGACCCAGATCTTTTGCTAAATCTTGCGTGCTGATGTTTTTTTAGCGGTAATTATTCGTTTGTTACAAAAACGAGATTGAACGGTGGTTTGTATAGGAAAACAAAATTTTGATTCGCGATTTTTAGCAGTAAACGGGCTCAAGGTAAACTTGCATCAACTGAACGCAAAAAAATATACAGATTACCTACCAACGCCTTGAGGAAGTATTTACAGGATATTAATTATTACCTATCATAAAATAGATATTAAAATCAATAAAAGGTTGATACGTTCAAAGGTGAAAACTACAATTGTAAGTTATG